CATTCCAATTACCAGTAATGATCAATACATCTTGATTGCATTGATCAATTTCAGATTGAAGAAGTTGGTAGAATTCTTCTATTTCATCCTCACTGGTTTTAGTGGTTGGTGTGTAAATTTGAATAATAGTGGTATTAACTGGGCTTCTCTGTAGGGGCATGGATATTATCCTATCATAGACACCACTCATCTGTCAGTTTGTCGTACTGTGGTGGCTTATGTGTTGCTGTGATTCTGAAAGCTATGCCACCGGTATTTTAAATACCAGCAGGGTCACCCATGGTAGACAGGTTTCAGATGAATTTCCAGACCAAGACAGACTAGGAAGAAGAAGTGACGAACTACTTCCAAATACTTAGTCACTGAAAACCTTATGAACAGCAGAAAAACACTGTCAGATATAGTGCCGCAAAATGAGCCCCTCAGATTGAAAGGCACTCAAAATACGACTGGGGAAGAGCTGCCTTCTCAAAGTAGAGTTGACCATGATGACACAAATGGAGTAAAGCCTGTGGGAGAAAAGTCCACAAAACCTTCATTTGCTGGTGGGCACAACTAAAAATGAAGAGAAACAGCTGTAAACATCCACTAAAATTCGGAACATGGAATGTACAAAGAAGTAAGAATCTGAGAAAATTTGAAGTTGTCAATAATGAAATGGAACACTAAACATCAATATCTTAAGCATTAGTGAGCTGAAACGGACTGGTATTGGCCATTTTGAATCTGATGACCACATGGTTTACTATGCTAGAAATGACAAGTTGAAAAGGAATGGTGTTGCTTCATTGTCAAAAAGAACATATCCAGATCAGTCAAAGGTACAACGTTGTCTGTGATACGATAGTATCCATGCGCCTACAGGGAAGCCCAGTTAATACAGTGCCAATAACAGTGGTAAAAGCAGACATCCTTGTCTTGTTCCTGATTATAAGGGAAACACATTCAGTTTTTCACCACTGAGGATGGTGTTTGCTGGGGTTTTCTTAGCTTTCTTTTGTATTCTATTTAAAATGTGATGGTACTTCCTGAATACACAATGAATATTCAAGAGTTACCTTAAAAATTCAATTTTTTTAATGAAAAGCTACAATAAAAAAGACTTGAAATAAAAATGAAAATTAGTATAACAGAAATTTCAAATTACACAATTCTCAATCTCAGTCATGGGAATATGAAAAGGGAAAATCTCACAAAAGAAATCATCCAGTAGAGTACTCAGAAAGGTGAGTTTACCCTGGAACCTCAGATTCACAACTTGGCATACCCCTATACTTGGGAGTCTTGGTTTTCCCTTACCTTGTTTCCCCAGCTCCTGACTTCAGCTTTCTTCTCAGGTCATCCACACGAGCTGCCACTTCTTCTGGACGAATCAAACCATTAACTACATGATTAAGGTGATTCTGGAACTCTTTCAGCTGCTGTTTTAACAGGTTATTGTCATCCTATGGAAAGGAGTGAGATGGGGGTGTAAAAGTTCACAAAATAGAATTTAATACACACTTAACATCTCCTTTGCTATGAGACCAAAAAACTGGGTGGTGCCGTCTATCAGTACTGAATATTTTGATCAAAGATTCGATAAGAGAATCTTAGTCAAAAGGGGAAAACACATTTCACATTTTCACAAACTTCAGAATTTCTGGAGCTAAGGGGGCTGATGAATCCCTGAAACTATTGTCCTAAAATAATCTTTAACTTTTAAACCACAAATATCCCTTAAGTCTTCTGAAAACAACAGTTTAATTAACAAAAAATGTCTGCCTTGGGCATTACGCTCTCTTAAAAATGATCTCTGTAGAATTAAAGTGCCAACAGCAATGTGAAAGATTTTATAGGTTCTTTAGAGGAAAGTGAGTTTGTCAATGGGAGAGGAACAAATTAGAAAAAGGATGAGAATGGTTGTACAACCCAAAGATTGTAATTAATGTTACTCGATTGTAATGTAGATACTGTTGAATTGTTGAATTTTGCTGTGTATATTCTCAACAATAAAATAAAAAACAACAAAAAACACCCCTTTACACACACACAACTTGTATTGTCATAGTGCTGTGGCTTAATGCACTGGACTGCAAGGTCGGTTTGAACCACAAGGTCGGCGGTTCAAACTCAATAGCCGCTCCTCAGAAACCCTATACAGGGTCACTATGGGTCAGAACCGATTCAACAGCACTTAACAACCACAACCAATTTAAAGAAAAATATTGTCTGCCCAGCTGACCATACCTTAAAATCTACTGGTCACTCTTAAAAGACACAACTTGGCATGAGAATGTCTTACAATATGATGTAAAATGAAGAATACAAAACCACCTATGAAAAAAGTAACTAAACTGAATTTTAGTAAATGTGTTGATGTGACATTAAGAATATCTAAATCAATACTACTATAGAGATGAATCAGTAAAATTCAGAATATAGGAAATGCTACAGGACAAAGATTTGGCTCTTTAACACACAGCAGTAACAACAACAAAAAAAGAGGAAACCTACAGATTACAAACGATTTCAGAGGAAAGGCAAGTCAACTAAGTACAATGTGAGGACCTTATTTGGATCCTGACTCCAACAAAAGAATTATAAAAATTTTAAGAGGCAAAGGCAGTCCCCCAGTTATAAATGTCCCCCAGTTATAAATGTACAGCCCACTTAAAAAACCCAATGCCATTGATTCGATTCCAACGCGTATAGTTGTGCCTTTGTGATACACATCAAAATATTTTTGTTTTTAAATTCCAACAAGTTGGTTCCATGTCATAGTGGCTCTATGCCCAACAGAACGACTTGGTCCTGTGCAATTCTCACAATTGTTATGTTTGAGTCCACTGTTGCTAATCCATCTCATTAAGGCTTACCCGCAAAACCTCACTCCTCCACTTTATAAAGCATGACGCTCTTCTCCAGGGTCTGGCTCTTCCAGACAACATGTCCAAAGTACTACAGACTAAATTTCACCATCCTTATTGGTAAGGAGCATTCTGGCTGTACTTCTTCAAACGCAGATTTGTTTGTTCTGGCAGTCCAGCGTACTTCCAATATTCTTAGCCAACACCAAAATTCAAATGCATCTATTCTTCTTTGGTCTACCTATTCATTGTCCAACTTTCACATGCATATGGAGCAACTGAAAATACCATGGCTTAGGCCAGGAGCACCTTAGTCCTCAAACTGAGGTCTTATCTCTTTAACAATGTAAAGAGGTCTTCTGCAGCAGATCTGCCTAATGCAATACATTGGTTGATTTCTTGACAGTTAATTCCATGAGCACTGAGTGTGGATCCAAGCAAAATGAAATATTTGACAGTTTCAAACTTCTCTCCATTTATTGTGATGTTATTTATTGGTCTACTTGTCAGAATTTTCATGTTCTTAATATTAAGGTGTAATCCATACTGAGTGCTGTAGCCTTTAATTTTCAGCAGGAAGTATTTTAAGTCCTCTTGACTTCCAGTTAAGTAAGGTTGTGTCATCTGCATATTGCAGGTTGTTAATGAGTCTTCCTCCAATCCTGATGGCACATTCTTCAGCTTCTTGTATCATTTATTTAGCAAACAGGTTGAATAAGTACGGTAAAAGAATACAATCCTGGCACACACCTTTCCTGATTTTAAACCATCCAATATCCCTTTGTTCTGTTCTAACAACTGCCTCTTGGTTATGTATAGGTTCTGCATAAGCAAAATTAAGTGTTGTGGAATTCTCATTCTTTGTTACAGCCAACATAGTCTAATGCCTTTGCATCACCAATTGTTGTGTTGCCATGAAGTGCTGTTGAGTCAGTTCCAACCTATAGCGACCCTGTATAGGGTTTCCAAGGAGCAGCTGGGGAGCTTGAACTGCCAACCTTGCAGTTCAAACAGCTTTGCAGTCTGGCGCATTAACCCACAGCCCCACACCAGGACTCCTTGCATCACCAATAAAGTACAAGTAAACATCCTTCTGGTATTCTCTTGCTTTCAGCCAAGATCAATCTGATGTCAGCCATGATATCCCTTGTTCCACATCCTCTTCTGAATCTGGCTTGAATTGCTAGCAGTTCCCTGTTGATGTACTGTTGTAACCATTTTTGAATTACCTTCAGCAAAAATTTACTTGAATGCAATAATAAAATTGTTCAAATTATTTCTGCATTCCATTGGGTCACTTTTCTTTGGAATTTGGACACAAATATGGATCGCTTCCATTAAGGCCAATTAAGTAGCTGTCTTCCAAATTTCTTGGCACCAATGAGTGAGTGTCTCCAGGGTAGAATCAATTTGTTGAAACATTTAAATTTGCATTCCATCAATCCTGTAGCCTTGTTTTTTGCCAATTCTTTTAGTGTTGCTTGGACTTCTTTCTTTATAATATTGCTACCTCTTGAAATAGTTAAGCATCTACCAATTGTTTTTGGTACAGTGACTATGAGTATTCCTTCTATCTTCTTTTGATGCTTCCTGTGTCATTTAATATTTTGCTTGTTGTTGTTGTTGTTAAGTGTCTTCAAGTCAGTTCTGACTCACAGCAACCCTATATAGGGTTTCTAAGGAGTGGCTGGTGGCTTTGAACCACCGACCTTGCAGTTAGCACTCCAGTGCTTAGCCTGCAGCGCCACACCAGGACGCCAGATTTTTGTCCGTAAAATCCTTCAATATTTCAACCCAGGTTTGAATTTTTTCTTCAAGTTCTTTTGGTTTGAGAACTCCAGGTCTTAGCACATTTCATTGTAACACTTCTTAAGCTGCCCTTTGAAATCTTCTGTTCTTTCTGTTCATCATTTCTTCCAGTCACTTTAGCGTCTTTACATTCAAGAGCAAGTTTCATTATCTTCTGACATCCATTTTGGTGTTTCCTTTCCTTTCTTTTTAATGACCTTTTGCTTTCTTCATGTATGATATTCTTGATAATCATCCCATAACTCCTCTGGTCTTCGATCACTGGTTTCTAATGTACCAAATCTGTTCTTGAAATGGTTGCTAAATTCAGGTTGGATAAACTCAGGCTCGTATTTTGGCTTTTATGGACTTGCTTTAATTTTCTTCAGGTTCAGCCTGAACTTGCACATGAGCAACTGATGGTCTGTTTCACAGCTGGCCCCTGGCCTTGTTTTGGCTGATAATATTAAGTTTCTCTATCCTCTCTTCCCACAGAAATAGTCAATTCGACTTACGTGTATTCCATTTGGTAAGGTCCACGTATACAGTCACCATTTATGTTGTTGAAAAAAGGTATTTTCAATGAATAAGTCATTGATTTTGCAAAATTCTATCATGCAACCTTCAGTATCGTTTCTATCACCAAAGCCATATTTTCCAACTACCAATCCTTCCTCTTTTGTATTCCAACCAGTAATTATCAATGCATCTTGACTGTTTAATTAGTTTCAGACTGAAGGAATTGGTAGAATTTTTCAATTTCATTATCATTGGCTTTAGTGGTTGGTACGTAAATTTGAGTAACAGTGGTATTAACTGGGTTTTCTTGTAGGCACATGGATGTTATCCTATCACAGTCAGCAATGTACTTGGAGATAGATCTTGAGATGCTCTTTTTGACATACATGCAATGGCATTCCTCTTCAATCTGTTGTTCCCGGCATACTAAACCATATGATTGTCAGAATCAAAATGGCCAATACCAGTCCATTTCAATTCACTACTGCTTATACAGGGTTGCTCATAGATCGTTTTGGAAGAAGTATAGCTAGAGTGCTCCTTGGAGGCCAAGATGGCCAAACTTCGTCTCTCATCCTTTGGACATATTGTCAGAAGGGACCATTCGCTGGAGAAGGTTATCATGTTTGGTAAGGTGGAGAGTCAGAGAAAAAGAGGAAGACCACCCCCCCCCCACCAACGAAATGGACTGGCCAAGTGGCAGCATCGATGGACTCAAGCATGGCAACAGTAGTGAGGTTGGCCCAATATTGGGCAGTGTTTTGTTCTGCTGTCGCTATGAGTTGGTACCAACTTGATGGCACCTAACAATAACAACAATGAGTCAAATGCACTTAACAACAACATAATTATGTTAAAAATGTTTTAGCATATTTGGAAGTATTTTTTTAATGTTTCCTATGCACAGAACATTTGTCAAAATGAAATTAGATATGAATCATACCTAACTGCTCTGATTTACAACTCTAACCTGAAGACAGATTTAGAAAGGGAATGCATTTGTAATTCAGAACCGCCTTTAATTTGGAAAACCTGAAAACTAAATAAGGTTGTCCTTGCTGTTAAGCTTCCCACTCATAGTGATCCTGTATAGGGTTTCTGAGGAGCAGTTGGTGAATTTGAACCGCCGACACTGTAGTTCAAATGGACCTTGGGGTCCAGTCTTTTATACCACGGTGTCACATTAGGCCTCTAAACAAGGTATATGATGATATTAAAACACCCAGTGCCATCAAGTTGTTTCTGACTCATGGTGACTATTAGGGAATAATTATAATTTTCAGGTGTAA